TATACAGGCTTCCTCATTTCAGATGCAACCCCCCCCCCCCCCTATTATTAAGCCCTGCTTACTGTATCAAAGCCTGACACTTTAGCTGGAAGGTCACAGGTCACCTCACACGTGACGATTGCTTGTCAATTACCCGAGGCCAAACACTGCATAATTAGAAGGCAGAGAGTGTGGGAGGCTGGACTGGCAAATGTCAGATTTGAAGGGAACTCTGACACTGGTTGCCTCAGCAATGGCAGGTTGCTTCTATTATTAGAGAAAGTGTAAGCATGGGCTGCAAAAGAACAACACTATAAAAAAACTGCCTAAAAATAAATGTGCTTTTATAAGGAACACTTCATTTTGTACTCATGTTTTAGCTGAATTTTCTTCATTGATAATCATTGGTTTCTTAGATAGAATAATGTTCTATTCTGCAAAGGGTCACATAACATTTAAATTAACACTACAGGCTTAGCTAATTCCCTTTAGTAACTATATTCAAACCTGCCATGAAGGTTCAAATATGACTGGGATATTGGCAAAAGCAACTTTATTAGATTAATACATCAGATTTTAACGGAACTGTTAGCGACTGAATGTCCCAACATAAAAATTAGGGATGCATCGATATATCGGCCGAAAATTGCACTTTTGCTAAAATGCCGAAAGTGCCGTTTTCTTGCCGATATAGTGGTGTATCCTATTCCCTCCTCCCCGCTGGGCGCTGCTCTGTGTCCCCGCGGGGAGGAGAGAAACGGTGACGGCCGGCCGAGTGCTGTGAGCGGGCGGCGTCTCTCCTCCCACACGGCTCAGCCTCCTGGCACAGATCGGAAGAGCGGTGTGGGGGCGGAGACAGCCAGCGTGCACAGGAGGTTGAGCTCTCCTCCCTGCACCGCTCGCTCAGCCTCCTGTGACAGCTGTCAGGATGGAGAGCAGGTAGAAGCAGTTGGTGATCAGCTATTGCTGAGTGTTTGTAAATAATTGAGGACAGAGTATGTTTACTATATCACCAATTATGAATGAATGGGAAGTGATTTACATCACCTCCTGTTCATTCATGATTGTGGTTATAGTAAACATACTCTGTCCTCATGTTATCAATGAACAGGAACACTCAGCATAGAGGATTCCTGTTCATTGATAACATGGGGCTGCAGAAAAAGAGATTTGAAGGACACAAAGTCCTCAATCTCTTTTTCTATTTTAAAAAGGGAAATATCAGGGGTCTGTTTAGACCTCCGATATTTCCCCAAAGCCTCTAGAAGTAAAAAATTAAAATATTTAATAGAAATTAATAAAAATAAAATAAACATTTTTTTTTAAAGTTTATAAAAAAAATAAAATGTTAGAAAAATGATGTAAAAAGTTAGAATCAAAAACATTTTCGGTTTCGGCCTGACTTTTTTTTTTCATTTCGGTTTTGAAATTTTCATTTCGGTGCACCTCTAATACAAATCATATCTCCCCTGGGCAGAACTTCATACTGACAGTTGCCCCAGATAACTTTGCTTCAGGCTAGATGGGTCATACCTACCCCGCTTTCTGACTGTGAAAATATTCTTCCTCTGTTGACATCCTTGTTTCTGGCTGTTCTTGCTGGACATCAGTTAAAGCAGGAGTCCGCTGATACTCTGCTAGTCCTGGTTCCAATGAGGAAGAAGGATTTGCAGACAGCTGAACATCAGCAGTGTTTTGATACACAGGAGTTTGATTATCCACCACCTTCTTAAATGAATCAAAATGCATTGCCCAGAGATCCTGTTGCTCAGCCTAAAAAATGTAAGATGACAGAAAAATTAGTAATCAAAATAGGACTATGTCACTGTAAAAGAATCCCCCCTTCCGACCCCCCACCCCAAACAAGTGTCTTCATTTTTGTCAGTTCCTTTGTTCTGCACGCCTTAGATGCCACAGTGAAGCTATACAACGATGTTCTAAAATTGTGAAGGAACGACCTGCCCCCTCTCACAATGCCTGTGTTCTGTTTACAGTGCTAGTGCAGAAAGAATTAGTGTTATCTGCTGAATACACTGTATACAAGTGGACCATTAAAAGTAAAAACGGGACTATTGATGATCCCAGTACAGCTCTCAGGTGAAAGCAAAAGAACATTGAAAAGTTTTATATTTGCAATAAATTTGCCTGGCGGCACTTGTCCTTCAACCACCTTCCAGACTGCCAAATTCTAAAATAACAGCAAAGCAAGGGAGGTAGATATGTATTTCTAAGTATCTGCAGAAACCACACGTGGGTGGCCAATGTAACGAATGAATGGCTGTGATCTGTAATTACAGGCACAATGTACATAGCCAACCAGAGTGACAATCACAGCAATCAGAAAGTAGTTCATTAAATTATGGGACAGTTATTTAACCCTTTCACCCCCCCCCCCCCCCCCCCCCGCCCCCTGAATGCATGTGTTTTTTCATTGGTAGATCTCA